AATAACAAAGATTCCCTATTTCAGCCACGTTGCCATTAGTGAGTAAGTAAACTTTGCTAATATTTTGTAACAATTTTTAATCATGATAAAAGTATCTATTAGTAAAAGGCATTTAATTACCTAGAATAGCGTATAAATTATCTATCTATTTATGAAGTAATTATCCCAGTAGTATTTTACGACAAAGTTCGAGAAAAGTTTAAAGAAAACTTTAGAATAGACGAGTCAAGAATTAATTTATTTTCTCTTCTAAGTTTCTGTCTTCCATTTATGTTTTTTGGCAATATAATGCTTTGTTATCGATAGCATATTCCAGATTTCTGTTGAGACCTAAACTTTCTAATAGAAAGGAGGAAATATTGAAAAAAAACTTTCAGTTTTAGAAAAGTGTCACTGTTTTTCAGACCTTAGAGTACCTCTTTACCATTCAAAATTTTGATTTTAAATGGTTTAAAAAATAATCTAGTTACCTTTCGACACAACTTATTTTGATATATCACTTTATAAACATGGTTTAAAAAATCCTCATTTCAATTTGATTTCACTTGCAGCATGTCGAGAGAAAAAGTATCCTAGAAATTGCATTTTCAGTAAAACTGCAAGTTTTATACTCATTTCCCCGCCAAATTTTCTCTTCTTTTTACGAAGCAAGGGAATCATTCTACTCGCGAAGAATTTCGGTTATCATACTTCAACGGAAATATCTCTTTTGATCCTGACGAACTCATTTTCACCATTCTTTTGCGTGACGTCTGTACGTACCAACAGGACTTTTTCGTGACGTCTGTAGGTACGTGTGTATGTATCTCAAACAACTCAAAAACGATTAGCCGTAGAACGCTGCAATTTTACATATGAAACTGCTATATCTAGTTGTGCATCTCTTTTTTTTACTTCAATCGGCAATAAAAAAGGTACTAAATGACGAAAATATTAATATTTTGGGAATGTTCATTAAAAAACTTAATTTTTGACAAATAACGAAATCTAACTTTTAATACTGTTTCCCGTTTCCTACTTTATGATTGGGGAAGTTTTAAACTGGTTATGAAAGAATAAAAATGCAAGAATTTTGACTCCTGTACAACAAAAATTCACAATACGATATTTAATTTCAAAATTTGCAATTTTTGATGTCATATGATATTTTCAGGAGGTCCTTGTTTATCATACAGAAATGGATTATTACATTGTCATTACCAAATACAAACACTGCACAGCTCAAAAATGATCAATTAAAAAAAAGTAAGGAACTATTTTGCTACCTCTTCTGAGACAAATAAAATTTCAGAAAGCAATTCATTTCTTTAATTTTTTTTTTTTTTATTTTTATATATATATCCATCTGCCTGATTGGTTTATGTGATTACAGCGAAAGCTCGAGGGCTATCTGCCTAAGGGGAGGACCTTCGTGGAGGACCTTTCTAAGGAAAACTGGCTCATGTACTTGTTACATATGATGAAAACCACAAAAACGCCCATGCAGCCAGCCTATTCGCTGGAATCTTAACTCGGAACGAACTACCAGTATTCATTGACTTTGCCGCTCAAATGCTGGTGGGCTCTGTCTACCTGAAGTCTCTAGGCAAAGTGAGACATAATGTAGTAAATTGTATCAGTCCCAAATTTATCAACTGCTGAAAAATGTGTTGCATGAATAATAAAATTTTCATCTAATACTTCGGATTCAATTCAAAATACCAGAACTTGTCTTTTGTAGAACACTAATACCCTTGAAAATAATGGTAAAAAATGATGGTGTCAGTCCAATAATCCGGATGAAAAATAATGGAGTCCAATAATCCGGGTGGAAAATAATGGAGCCAATCCAATAACCCGGGTGAAAAATAATGGAGCCAGACCTCAACTAAATTAAAACACTGTGTGTTATCATGTTCTTATATGCAATGGTCCCAGGAATTCAGTCATTTTCTGAATTTGTGCAACCATTTTCACACTTCTTGAGAAGTGATAAAATTACTCATAATATACGGGGATATACGGGGAAGTAAAACTGGCTGATTGAGAAATCCAAAAATTGAGGTTTTTTTGCATTAAACTTCCTTTCAGACAGGAAGGAGTTAATCGCAGTGAGAGTTCCAGTAATTTGTTTCCGATCTACTCGTAAACACGGGATGTACCGTAAGGCTGGAAATCTTGCATGGAGATAAGAAATCATCGAGTTTGTCTCAAGAAGAGAAAATAAGCCAAATACCATTTTGCAACAAGATTAGATAACACTACGCTTTAGCTGTTCCTTGGATTATGAGCGTGCTCACCATTGAGTCGATGGCATACTAGAGCACATAATGAATCTAGAAACACATCGTTCCCAAACAGTCTCTATTTTCCAATAGTGAGCCAGAGATCTTTAGCAAGTATCCCTTCATCTATTTCGACAATAATCGATTTCGCATCTTTTAACAGCCACTGAAAATATTACCATTATCATTTTATATTAATTAATAAATGAAAAATATTTAAATGCATAAGCAAATTAACAACAAGCTAACTTTCCACTTCTCCTAGAAGATAAAAGAAGAAAATAAATAAATTACAAAATAGAAGTTCCCAGATATATCTAATCGTAGAACTAGACTTCTACTGTAGTTCATTCTACCTCTATAGAAGTACTGATGTACGAACACTGAGACGTAGAAATGCTGATGGAGCAGCATGTAGAACGTAGATGCATATTGAAGCGGAAGAATTCTGATTGCGTAGAATGCTGAAATATTGAATCCGCAATGACTAAAAAACTTGACAGTCGAGACGGATTAAATTTCATTTTTATTTCAATTGCCATTTGTGGCCACAATTTACTTGACACTCCAATTGTGCATATTCTAGAACATTCATATGTTTGATACTGTCGAGATAGGAGAAGAGCACAACGAAATAACGTTTTTACAGAAACAGAGGCAGAAGCTAAAAAGCGCATTTATGCAGTATGAAACTCACCAAGAAAAGGTTTGGGTTTAGGTTAGAATGGTTTCAGCTCTCGAAATTCTAAATTCCGAATTAGCTAAGTCATAAGCGTTTTGCAAGCCATGTGACGTATATTAACCCATTAACTGCCATATTGGCACAGAGACTGGAAATTGGAATATAGATGGAATCTGCTATGAGTCCTTGATGGGAATCGACATTCAAGAAGCCCTCACCGGAAAATAAAATTTACATTGACAATAAGTAGTAAGAATATTCTAAAAAAATTAGAGAACACGGCAGTACACATGAGTTGGAAATGATGTACATGATAATATGACATACCGGCGTTTTGAAAATGTATAATATTGAAACTCACAAAAATTTTATTTCTTCTCGCAAATAATACTCTCCAGCTGACTCATTTAACAACTAGTACTCAACATTCATGCAAAAGCTTGAGAAAGATTTAAAGAAAAATGTAAAAAAATAACCATTGTTTCCAACCTAATTAAAGTTACCAAATTTCCGCTACTAAGACAAATTCCCAAATGGGGATCATAGCAGTTAATAGATTAATCTAGAAATGGCGCAGTCCAGAAAAGCTATTACTAACTTGGTTAATTAATTAATTAATACTGCTGCAAAATTATTATTAATTATTTTAGTTTTGGTTCTCAGTGCATTTGATTGGATAATTAATACTGCTGTAAAATTATTATTGGCTACTTGATTCTCAATGCTTTTTGATTGGATAATTAATACTGGTGTAAAATTATTATTGGCTATTTGATTCTCAATGCGATTTGATTGGATAATTAATACGGCTGCAAAATTATTATTAGTTGTTATAGTTTTGGTTCTCAGTGCATTTGATTGGATAATTACAAGTAATACTGCTGTGTCTATTTACTTGTGTCTATTTCAAATGTTTACATTTTTGGTAGCTTTGCAGTAAGAAGAGAGCAGCAGTTCAGTAACGCCGAAGAGTAGCAAGTGGATGTGTTATGTTCAGGATGAAATCTTAATTCTGACTTAGTTTTGGCTCTCAATGCTTTTTGATTGGATAATTAATACTGCTGCAAAATTATTATTAGTTGTTTTAGTTTGGGTTCTTAGTGCATTTGATTGGATAATTAATACTGCTGCAAAATTATTATTGGTTATTTGATTCTCAATGCTTTTTGATTGGATAATTAATACTGGTGTAAAATTATTATTAGTTGTTATAGTTTTGGTTCTTAGTGCATTTGATTGGATAATTAATAATGCTGTGAAATTATTATTAATTGTTTGAGATTCAGTTCCAGTTACATCATCAGCGTTATGTAGAGTCACATATGGATTAATTTCGAAATGACGCAATGAAGAAAGAGATTATTATTTTTTGAATACAGCGAATAAATAACAAAATTCAGCATTCAAGGAGAATTGTTAATTTAAATTATAATTTATCTTATACATATTTGTATCTGACATATATATGTATATATATGTATACTTTGCGGCTTTAGCGCAAGTATTATGCAATTGATTACTATTAATAACCTTACTTACATGCATATATAATATATATATATATTTTTTTTTCAATTTAACTTCTTAATTAAATTTTACATTAACTTTTCACGAAAATGAGAATATTTTTTAATTATACTATATATATATAATTGTCATAATTGTAAAATGACGCAATGCAGAGAAGTTATTACGATTTTAGAATAAAGAGGAAGAATTAATGTTTTTAGTTATTCTGATTCATATAATTTTATCTTACATATATATATTATAATATTGTTTCACAAGAATAAAATTAAACTAAATTTCAATTTGGAACATTTATTTTCACAAACAGTAGCAGTGCACAATTTTTACTTTTTTACACATTTTAACAATGCCTCAAAGTTAGCAGCATTTTTACACACAAAGAAAGCATTTTACATTATAAAAACAGCTTAGGTTTTTACAATAGTCTCACAGGTAGCAGCTTTACACTCAACTTTACATTGTATTAGCGCCCTCTATTTATACAGTTAGCAGTAACAAACTACTCACTTCGCCTAGTTTAGCAAATGGCAGTCCTTCTCATGAAATTCAAATCTGTAGTTCTAGGTAAGTTAAATTAAAACTTGCTATTTACTAGCCTTTTTATTATTATTATTATTATTATTTTGATAAATTGTATGTAATTTATTTTAGGTTTACAAGCATAATTCGTGTTGGAGAAGTTTCCAGTAGGTAATAGTTTCTAAGTTACTTTGGTTTTATACCCTTAATTGTCATTTAATTAATTTTAATTCTTGTCATTTTCTCGCTAATTTCTCAAAATTCCAGTATTTTAATTTTCTTTTCTAGTAATTTACCACATTTGGTTTTACTTTTGCTTTTGAATTTTACTTTTACCTTTGCCTATACGGATGGCGAAACACAAATTGAGTAATTGAAGAGTTAGGTTTGGGGGCAATTTCCCCTTGATAAATAAATCTGTCTGTCTCCTGCCTACTCAAGAATTATTCACTTATGCAATTTAATTTTTTGGAATAATATATTTTTCATGGCTTTAGACATGTGCACTTAATTTATATATGCTCTTAGAATTTAAATGATATCGTAAATTAGTTCGTAGCAATAAAATTTAATTTTATCTTTATTTATTTATTTACCTTTTTGTTTTTGCAATTAAATTTCTTTATTAAATTTTATTTTAGCTTTTTATGAATATATATACATATATTATAATATATATTATATTTATATTAGCATTATACTAATAGAGAATATTTGTTAAATTAATTATATATATATATAAATTTGAAGCATTTAAAGTTAAAAGTAAATTGGAGTCAAAGCAAGGCAATTTCTCAACAATATTAATAATTGCGTCCTTGTATAACAATATTAATAATTGCATCCTCGTATTTTTATTTTGAATTGTTTAGATATTGTATTAATACAAGGATGCAATTATTATACAAGGATGCAACTACTGATATTCTTGAGGGATTCCCTTGCTGTGATTCCAATTTACTTTTAACTACAGATACTTTCTTTAAGTTTATATTACTTCAAACCTGCAGCTAGAACGGTTTTAAAAAAAGTTTAATTTTTGCCTTTTATTATTCTTCACATTATAAAATTAACTATAAGAGATATAGTTTGTATAATCATGCGACACGACAATTAGCCAGAAATTAATTAATTTCCATTCACTAGTATTTTTAAAAAAATCTTAACAGACGGTCTCTCTCAGATAAGAACTCCACAAAATACATCCCTCAAGAATTCCAAGTCCCACCCACTACCATAAATTTCTTCACCCAAGTCTTGCCGACTGATATAATTCAAAGCCCCTACTGCCGCTAAGAATTTTCGGACACCCTACACTTCTGAGTCAGACACGAAGAGAACACACTGCCAACTCCCCCACTAGAAAGAATGTAAGTTACTTAATACCTTTCTGGCCTTTATATCTTCATGTACATTCACTGATCTTATTTATATTATTTTCTATTTTATTTTATATTATTTTTATATTATTTTTATGTTCTCTTTGATTTGTTTTTGCAAAGTTTGCATTATTTATCTTTTTTATAATCTTCTATGTTTATTTCAACTTTACTTTGATTTCGATTTCATAATGACAATTTCCAATGTTTAATTTCTACAAATAATATAGTACTCAAATACATAAAGATGATAGTGTCGGGGACGATTACTCGAGTTTTACAAGATTTCTCTACAGTAATTGATTTTTACTCCAAATTGAATTGACTAAAATGCTTCATGAGAATCAGTTCTTTGAGTAACAACTATTCGCGGAAATATTTGGCCTGACTAGAATTGCCGGTTTGGCTTTAATTTATAACTCGAGTAAAGACGAAACGAAACACTTTCATATTTACGTATTTCTATCAATTATTGATCATTGAACGGGAGTTGGTTTGTTCCCCTTGAAAAGTCAACTAATTTCCGATCAATGACAATAATTACATGTTTTAATTTTTACTTTTACAATTGTAATATTATTCTTCGTGATGATTTAACTCCAGTCCCCGTTAAAACATTATTAACATTTTGCTTTCAAATTACTTCAAAACATCTTTCAAAATATAACTTACCAGTATGGATGCACACTTTTAAAATAATTCTACTTTAATTAAACTTAGGAGATAATATAATCAATTAATCAATACGGTTTAGGAAATAAATTATTATTAACTAACTTTGCAGCAATTGCGCAAGTAATAATAACTTGTATTCGCACTAAATGGATTTAAGTTCATGTACATCCATAGTAAGTATACAACAGTTCGGTGTAAAAAATTTTGAATAATAAATATATTTCAACGTTACTTCACCTTCTCCGATGCTTATCTTTATTGATTAATTACAGAGCATCATGGAAACATATTCCGAGTCGATATTCCGTTCATGAAATCCTAGAAACAACTGAAAACAGATATCGGAGAATGATAACGATAACAATAACTAAGTAATATCAGTATCGAAAAACGATTTGTTTAGCATTCAGTACCTAAATTATCATTGCATTTTTGCAAATCAAGCTGAAAAAAATATTTTTTAAGATAAATCATTCTAATCTTCTCTTTGAAGCCTTAATGCTTAGTGGAATGTTTGTTACGAACATTAAATTTATACCTTGGAATTTAGATTATTCTCGGGAAATTGATATATATTGCAATTTTCTGTCATTAGAACATATGTTAGCACAGTAAGTAGCAGATGTTTTATAATTTCATCATAATATTTCAATAAGTAGCACGAAAAAAATGATAAAACACGTCATATTTATTCTTCGTTTGATATCCAGGTGGCGGCAGTGGAATTTCAACGAAGTCTATTTTAACCATCGCCACCTGGCGGTCACAATGATTCCTACGCTATTCTTTGGTATAAATCGATGTTACGTGTTAATGATTTCATTTTAAGTGAATGCACGTTCATCTCCTTTCTCAGCTAAAAACGCAATTCGTTTTAAGTTATGTAGGAAATAATTCGAAGGTTTTCTGCAAATCCGATAAAAAATTTAAATATCTTAATTAAATTGCATAGTAATAAAATATATATTTTTAAGCCTATTTTTGTGCTTGGCAAATGATGTAAATAGAAGCAGTCTCAAAAACCGAAAAATTTCGATGGAGCTTTTCTATCCATCTCTGGTTACAGAATTCTTTTAATGATTATTTGCATCATTGTATCTTAATATATGAACGATTAAGAATTATATTTCAGAAAATAAGGAAATACAATACTCTCTTGTAAAGTATATTTTAATTTTGAAGTCCCTTTCCTATCAATTTTTGTTCCCACTGGAAATGCGTCTAATATGGTTTACCGTCTCCTTTCACAGACAGACCGGTCGCGCAGCGTGATGGCATACTGGACAAGAGGCAGTTGGGGAGTTCTGTGACAGTCAATTTTACTCCTGCAGCAAGTCAGTTTTCAACTTCGGGATGATCCAGATGGTGAAATGAAATTGTCTTTCCGAGAGCGTGCCAGACATGTTGTATAGTAGGGGTTCCCAACCCTATGACCGCGGGCACCATGGCGCCCGCCGAACGTTTAACATGTGCCCACCGCTGAGCGATCACAATAAAAATGTTTTAGTTTTTCAATAAAATTCTACGTGAACGTTTCCTCACGTTTCTAATAAAATAGAAATTGAATCCCCACACAGACACCAACACAAAGCGATTTTTTTTTTATTTTTTTTTATTTTTTTATATGCATACATTATTAACTCTAACTATAAATTCACCTTGAAAAAGTAAAGGGTGCCCGCCGTTCAACAGATATTCTAGAATGTTCTCTTAGCATTTTACCGACCGCTAGCGGTTCAACAACATACGCACGTCCGACCGGCCGCTCAGCCGCAGATTCCTCATGTTCTAAATAACTGTCAGGACAATCTGATAAATCGTCTAAATAAAACTCTCCAGTACTTTTTTAGTCCAAAGGGATTTGAATCCCGAAGGACTATTAGTTTCGTTTTGGCATTTTGCGTCGGACTCATAAATGTCGGTTCACTTTTCAAACTGTTGCCACAAAATGTTAGAGTCCTGCATTATATTTGAAGAAATTAAATAATGAAAAATCTGCATAAATGTATGTATATTTCTCGTATTGTGATAAAACAACGGTACATAGAGTCATCGAATTTTGAATAACGTAATCCTCCAACGAATATGAGCATGTGGAAGACCAAATTTGAAATTTGAAATTTGTTTTATGATCGATTTCCTATTTTTTAAAAACTTTGACGAATTTTTGATTAACAAACTCAAGGATTTCAAAGCGAGCAATGGCAACGTTGTGCAGAAAAAACATTTTATCTCTCCAGCGCGTGAGTCTCTGTATCGGAAATTCTAAAGATATGCTCGTTTTAAAACTATTTTGCGATATTGCTGTTGCACTGGATCTTATGGTTTAAGTGCGAGAAACATGATATTTAATAAAGAAAGGTAACACACAAAATGTTAAAAAACGCCCCTTTGGACGTAATTTAAAATCTAATTTTTTTTTTTTTTTTCTTATTGTGAAAGGTAATTATTTTAAAAAAAACTGTGTGAAAGTTTGGGAGTTTACGAAGCAACGCACTTAACGCAAGTGAGCAATGTACCTCAATACTAATAATAAAATGCAGATGATATTGCAAATGGCAATTGTTTATCGCCATGGCCTACCGATTGATAGGGTATTTTTACGTAGCCTCGAGAAGAAAGGGCCGATTAATAGGCTATCGGACGGTAGGCGTTGCCTAAAAAAAGCCGGTTAATGGGCGATCGGTCGGTAGACGTTGGTGATGAAAAGCCGATTAATAGGCTATCGGCTGGTAGGAGTTGGCGATAAAAAGCCGATTAATAGGTTACCGTTCGGTAATGTGTTAGGGACAAAATAGCTGGGAACCTGTGCTCTGTAGTTAAAGTCAGGAGATCTGACTGACGAATCCCTGCGGCTAATATCCTTACTCTTAGGGTAATTTTGACCAGCTGAGCCTGGACTATCATTGTCGTGCAAACATCGTAAGCGAATGCCTACGATGATGATCGGAGGATATCACCCTTATGGATTGGCCAGCATTCTCACCGGACTTGAATCCAGTAGAGCACGTGTGGGACATGCTTCGCCGACGAGTTGCAGCCCGTCAGCCTCCTCCTACATGTCTACCGGAACTTCGGCGAGCATTGCTTTTTGAGTGGTGTAATATCCCCCAAGATCAGATCGATAATTTGATACTCAGCATGCCTAGGCGTTGTACGGATTGTATTCCATCGTCTGGGAGAAATACAATATATTAACAATCATACCAACCATGTAATATTGGTTTTTTGTAAATTTTTTTGGGGGGGGGTAATTTGCTCCAGGGAAATAAAATCGCTAATTTTTTAAATAATATCAAACATATAGCATCTTTTTTTTGCTCTTTACCTTTTGTTTAATAAATAAGCTTTACAAATAAGTCAAATTTGTTTCGCTTCTAACTCTTCCTTTGCCTGATTTTGCATTATCCTTAATTTATGGACATGAGTGTATTTTTCATTTTGCAGTTGAAATCTATATGGCGTAAGTGCGAAGAAAATGACGCTTAATAATGATGCTTCATAATAAAGCTAAAAAAAAAAAAAAAAAAAAAAAAATTCAGATTTTAAATTACGTCCAAAGGGGCGTTTTTTTAACGTTTTGAGTGTTACCTTTATTTATTAAATATCATGTCTTTGCACTTAAACCATAAAATTCAGTTCAAGAGCAATATCGCAAAATAATGTTAAATTAAGCATATCTTTAGAATTTCCGATATACACAGTCTCGCGAGCTGGAGATAAAAGTATTTTTTTTCTATATAACGTTGCCATTTCTCGCTTTTAAAGCATTGAGTTTGTAAATCAAAAATTCGTTAAAGTTTTACAAAATATAAAATCTATAATAAAACACGAATTCCAAATTTGAGATTTCAGATGCCCATATTCGCAGTACGATTTCGTCATTCAAAATTCGATGGCTCTATGTACATTGTTTTATCACAATGCGAGAGAAACAGACAATCATTTATGCAGATTTTTCATTATTTATTTTTTCATTTCTTCAAATATAATGCAGGACTCTAACATTTTGTGGCAACAGTTTGAAAAGTGAACCGACGTTTATGAGTCCGACGCAAAATGCCAAAACGAAAGCAATAGTCCTTTGGGACTGAAATCCCTTTGGACTAAAAAAAAAGAACGGGTTAGCAGGAGTGAGTTTAAAAGCAGAATGGTAGACTGCGTGCTTAAGGAGAGCGTAAAAAAAATCTTACCAAACACTTTTGAGCGACTATTAAAATCTGAAATTTTTCATCTCTGGTTTTCATTTTTCTGTTAAATTTTATTATACTTATTTTTTTAAATTTATTTTTGGCACACTTTATTAATCGACGAAAACAGGTCCAGAATTCGTCTTCAAAGCTAAATGCAATGGATTTGCGATGCAAATAAAAGAAAACTTTCCATTGTCTGCAGAAATCGGAGTTTTGAAATCGGTCCAAATTTCGCGTTGAACGCATTCGATCGGTGAAGAAGAGTTCTCAATGACGTCACCTCCCGCGCGCATGACGTCAGAGGCTGATCTTATTGGCTCACGCGCAAGATCAGCACCGGGGCTTCTTCGTCGAGCCAGTTAATCTGTGAATGTGGGAGAAAAACTAAAAAATCAACGAATAAACTTTTGTTTGGACGATCATGCGTCGATGCAAAGAATTTAATTAGTTTAAAAATTTAATTAGTGATTATTGGAATAAAAGCTGTCCCATTAAGTGGAACACCAAACTATTTGATAAATGTCATCCATTATTGTAAAATTTATGACAAAGATCCTAATTAAATATTATTGCAACTGTGAGAAAAGGCTTTTTGTACATTTCAAGAGTGTAATAAAAGAACCTTTGATATATATTTTGAAAAGTTTAAATGTGCTCCAGTAATTGCATTTGCGTTATTTAATTTCTTCCAAGTTTTATACTTTTTACTAATTTTGAGGTAGTCAGACATCAGTGAGCATTTCATACGTTTAATTATATTTAATTTTCAACAGAAACATGAAATAAAAGAACGAAAAATATATTACGTATTGTAATGCATTCTGCAGTTAATAGCTGTTATATTATTAATTGACTAATAGTAGGGCCTCTTATGCGAAAAACTGTATATTTCATTTTCAACAGAAACATGAAATAAAAGAACGAAAAATATATTACGTATTGTAATGCATTCTGCAGTTAATAGCTGTTATATTATTAATTGACTAAAAGTAGGGCCTCTTATGCGAAAATTTGTGTATTTAATTTTCAACAGAAACATAAAATAAAAGAACGAAAAATATATTACGTATTGTAATGCATTCTGCAATTAATAGCTGTTATATTATTAATTGACTAATAGAAGGGCCTCTTATGTGAAAAATTGTAAAAATGTACACAAATAACCCAAGCTTTTAACACTGAAATAATACTAATTAACCATATTTAATAAATTTGGAACTTTTCGTGAATTTATTTAAATATAAAATGCGGACTTTGATTCTTCATCCATATATCTCATCACATATAAATAAAGTAAGAGAACCACGCCGATATAACATTTAAAAATAGAGGAATTTACGCCCAAAGAGGTGTTATTTTACAGTTTTTGTGTTATCTTTATTTATTAAATATTATGTTCTTCGCACTTAAATCATAAAATCCAATCCAACAGCAATATCGCAAAATATTTAAAAAAGCATATCTTTAGAATTTCAGATATATAGTCACGCGCGCTGGAATTTTTTTTTTTTTTTTTTTTTTGTACAGTGTTGCCGTTGCTGGCTTTGAAATTCTTGAATATATTAATGAAAAAATCATAAATACTTTACAAAATATGAAATAGATAATAAAAGAAATTCCAGATACCAAATTTGGGCTTCCATATGATCATATTTGGGTGGAAACGTACGTTATTCAAAACTGGATGGCTCTAGGTACCGTTGTTTTATCACAATGCGGGAAACATGCATACATTCACGGGGATTCTTCATTATTTAGTTTTTTAATATTATTTAATTTCCATAATATTTGGTGGCAACAATCTGAAAAGTGAAACAACGCTTGTAGCAAACAACGGAAAATGCTAAAACGAAATTAATAGCCCTTCTGAGCTAATGCTCCTTTGGGCTATTAATGGTATACATGCATTCAGAATTTTCATAAAAGCTATGAAAAATATATGAAATCGAAATAAAACTATGAAACAGACATTAGCGTGCTGATTTCGTTGACGTAACTGAATTTCAACTTGATCAGTACTGCACATTCCTGATGATAATGAAAAATCCAAGCCCAAACTTGAGTAAAACTTCGGTGTTTGGAGCAATAGTAACTGTACATAAGGGAAAATTAAACCCATAGACTCGAATGGTATCTTCTGTAAGCTTTGATCAAGAGAAAAAGGAATGAGTTCTCGATTAACGAATGAATGTCATTGTTAAAGCGAAATAATAAACTGCATTGGTCATAAACTTACAATAAAATCTTAAAGTACACTTCCTGGCATCTGAAACCAAAAATTGGCTTAAAAGCAAGCTCTAAGTAGTTCAGTGACAGAAGGAAAATGAGCTTTTAATTG